GGGAGTGGATGAGCTGTTTAGTGGTTTCTGGGGTTAGGAATGTGCGGATTTTGGCGATGTTGCGGAGGTGGAGTCTGCATGTTGCGGAGGCGGAGTCTGCATGTTGCGGAGGTGGAGTCTGCATGAGTTTGTTAAAGATTGGACTTGGAGCTGGAAGAATAGGTTGGAGTCTAGAATGACACCAAGTACTCTGGCTTGCGGGGCGGGGCTGATGGCGGCGTTATTGGTCGTGATGGAGAGGTCGGGGGGGGGGGGGTGCAGGCTGGGGGGAAGACTAGGCGCTCGGTTTTGAAAAGGTTCAGTTTGAGGAAATGGAGTGACATCCAGTTCTGATATGTCTTTCAGTAGGTGTGTGATACGGGCGGAGAGTGAGGGGGGTGAGGTGGGGGGCGGAGAGTGAGGGGGTGAGGTTGAGGGGGCGGAGAGATAGATTTGTGTGTCGTCCGCGTAGAGGTGATAGTTGAAGCCGTGAGAGTGTATGAGTTGGCCAAGGGAGGAGGTTGTAGATGGAGAAGAGAAGGGGCCCGAGGACGCTGAGCCTTGGGGGACCCCAACAGAGAGGAGGAGAGAGAGGGGGGAGTCATATAACATATACATGACCTTGGTAAATAGGCCAGACTAGAACATTCAATGGGACGTAAAAAAGAGATGGTGGAGTGTGGGAGACTTTTGCCCATCATATTTTCCTGACCATGTCACTGCCAGTGAAGTACATGTTTCCACATACATACATAAAGGAGTATAAATGTAAAATGTAACACAATATAGAAATGTTAATGTTCTAAAGATATAATATAACATTCTCACAGTGCTGATCAGCTTTATTTTAGATATACTTTCTTAGAAAGATTTACATTAGCAAAATATCTCCCGGAGTTACAAAGTTTGTATGTTCCTTTGTTACTAATAGCACCTGAATAAAAAAGTACAGTATGTGAGCGTATGATGTGTGTACAGTTGTGTTCAAAATAATATCCGTGTGATGAAAAAAGTGAGTAAAGCTGCAAATCCTTCTAATAGCTTTTATTTCCATCCACACAAATGCATTGGGAACACGACACATTCTATTCCAAATCACAACATGAAGAAAAATACATCAAATTTGTGTTGTTCCTCTAAAAAAATGGAAGAAAAGTGAATATTAGACGGTTCAAAAAAATGGCCGTGTTTGTATTCTTCTTTACAAACTCCAACATTCACTATATAAACTGAGAAATGTTTGAAGGTTTTGCTTTCCTTTGAATGACTTCATGAATATTTGGTTGTAGTCGCACTGTTTCTGAGAACTGCTGTACATCTGTGTTGCATGGAGTCCCCCAACTTCTGGCCCCTGTGATCAGGTATTCCAGCCCAGGATGATTGGACCACATTCCACAGTTCTTCTCTATTTCTTGGTTTGGCCTCAGAAACGGCATTTTTTATGTCACCCCACAAGTTTTCTATTGGATGAAGATCCGGGGATTGGGCTGGCCACTCCATAACGTCCATCTTGTTGGTCTGGAACCAAGATGTTGCACGTTTACTGGTGTGTTTGGGGTCGTTGTCTTTGTTGGAACACCCATTTCAAGGGCATTTCCTCTTCAGCATAAGGCAGCATGACCTCTTCAAGTATTCTGATGGATTCAAACTGATCCATGATCCCTGGTATGTGATAAATAGGCCCAACACCGTAGTATGAGAAACATCCCCATATCATGATGCTTGCACCACCATGCTTCACGGTCTTCACAGTGTACTGTGGATGAATTCAGTGTTTGGGGGTCGTCTGACAAACTGTCTCCGCCCACTAGACCCAAAAAGAACAATCTTACTTCCATCAGTCCACAAAATGTTGCGTCATTTCTCTTTAGGCCGGTCAATGTGCTCTTTGGCAGATTGTAACCTCTTCAGCACACGTCTTCTTTTTCCCAACAGTGGGACTTTGCGGGGACTTCTTGCAGATAGCTTGGCTTCACATCGGCGTCTTCTAATTGTAACAGTCCTCACAGGGAACGTCACACCTTCTTTCATCTTCCTGGAGCTGATTGTTGGCTGAGTCCTCACAGGGAACGTCACACCTTCTTTCATCTTCCTGGAGCTGATTGTTGGCTGAGTCCTCACAGGGAACGTCACACCTTCTTTCATCTTCCTGGAGCTGATTGTTGGCTGAGTCCTCACAGGGAACGTCACACCTTCTTTCATCTTCCTGGAGCTGATTGTTGGCTGAGTCCTCACAGGGAACGTCACACCTTCTTTCATCTTCCTGGAGCTGATTGTTGGCTGAGTCCGCCCCATTTTGGCTATTCTTCTATCCATTCCAATGGTAGTTTTTCGCTTTCTTCCAAGTCTTTCAGGTTTTGGTTGCCATTTTAAAGCATTTACCATCATTTTAGCTGAGCAGCGATCATTTTCTGCACTTCTTTATATGTTTTCCCCTCTCCAATCAACTTTTTAATCAAGGTACGCTGTTCTTCTGAACAATGTCTGGAACGACCCATTTTCCTCAGAATTTCAGAGAGAAATGCACTGCAACCAGCATGTCCAACATTTGCTGCCTTCCTTCCTTAAATAAGGGCAATAATTGCCACCTGTTCTGTCAAAGAATGAATGACATCACTAATAGAACTCCACACGGCTATTATTGTGAACACGCCCCTTTCAATGAGTGATTCAATGACACAGAATCAGCAGCATGCATGTCATGACTGTTGGATTTCTATGACTCTACTACACCTGCTAGGAAATTATTTGCCATGTAGAAATATCATTTCCACCAAAAAACAGTGATTGATCCGGTTAGTGATGTCTGACTGCTAGTATTTTCAACATAACTGTATATATATTTATACACAGTATCCCCCCAGAAGTGACTCCACCCCTAAGTGACGAGGTCCAACTTGGGCCCAAAGTGTCAATATTTTGTGTGGCCGCCATTATTTTCTAGCATAGCACTGCCTTCACCCTCTTGGGCATGGAGGTCACCAGAGCTGCACAGGTTGCTACTGGAGTCCTCTTCCACTCCTCCATGATGTCACCACGGAGCTGGTGGATGTTAGAGAACTTGCGCTCCTCCACCTTCCCTCTTCCACTCCTCCATGATGTCATCACAGACCTGGTGGATGTTAGAGACCTTGCGCTCCTCCACCTTCCGTTTGAGGAGGCCCCACAGATGCTCAATAGGGTTTAGGTCTGGAGACATGCTTGGCCAGTCCATCACCTTTACCCTCAGCTCCTATAGCAAGGCAGTGGTGGTCTAGGAGGTGTTTGGGGTCGTTATCATAATGTGGTGAAGACGACTTGCTGAACCTCAAACCGGGGAAGAAAGGGGATTTGAGTGACTTTGAATATGGCATGGTTGTTGGCACCAGACGGGCCGGTCTGAGGATTTCAAAAACTGCTGATTTCCTGGGATTTTCACGCACAACCATCCCTAGGGAGATCCAGACTCATCAGACCAGGCAACAGTTTTCCAACCTTCTATTATCCAATGTTGGTGACCTGTGTGAATTGTCGCCTACATTTCCTGTTCTTAGCTGACAGGAATGGCACCCGGTGTGGTCTCAGCTGACAGGACTGGTATGGTTGTTGGTGCCAAACGGCTAGTTTGAGGATTTTAAAAACTGCTGATCTCCTGGGATTTTCCCACACAATCATCTCTAGGGGTTACAGAGAATGGTCCGAAAAGGAGAAAATATCCAGTGAGTGGCAGTTGTGTGGAGGGAAATGCCTTGTTGAGGTCAGAGGTCAGAGGAGAATGGGCAGACTGGTTCCAGATGATAGAAAGACAACAGTAACTCCAATAACCCCTCATTACATCCAAGGTATGCAGAATACCATCTCTGAATGCACAACACGTCCAACCTTGAAGCAGATGGGCTACAGCAGCAGAAGACCACACCAGGTGCCACTCCTGTCAGCTGAGACCACATCGGGTGCCACTCCTGTCAGCTGAGACCACACCGGTGCCACTCCTGTCAGCTAAGACCACACCGGGTGCCGCTCCTGTCAGCTAAGACCACACCGGGTGCCACTCCTGTCAACTAAGACCGCACCGGGTGCCACTCCTGTCAGTTAAGAACAGGAAACGGAGGCTACAATTCACACAGGATCACCAAAATTGGATAACAGAAGATTGGCGTGGCCTGCTCTGAGTCTGGATCTCCCTAGAGATGGTTGTATGAAAATCCCAGTAGATCACAGTTTGTGAAATCCTCAGGCCGGCTCGTCTGCCACCAACCACCATGCCACATTCAAAGTCACTTAAATCCCCTTTCTTCCCCATTCTGATGCTCGGTTTGAACTTCAGCAAGTCGCCTTCACCACGTCTAGATGCCTAAATGCATTGAGTTGCTGCCGTGCGATTGGCTGGTTAGTAATTCGTGTTCCCGAGCTGTTGAACAGGCGGACCCCATAAAGTGGCCGGTGTTTCGGTGTACGTTTATGGTGTCACAATTGATACATTGTACGTTTCCACAGTTGTTGTCCGATGCTTTCTGCCGGCTCTATAGATTGTACATCACGGAGATCAGACATCTTTTTCTCCTCTAGAACGTTCTGTGAAGCCTCTACCCTCCCGAAGAAGCCGTAATAACAACCGTGAAACATGTTGAGGAAATGACGTTCGGCAGGACCTCCTTACAGCTGGCTTGTTGGGAGTCTCTGAATTGTTTATAATGGGGGGGTGATTAAAAAAAAAAAAAAGAGGCAGAATGCAGGAACTCTCTATTTGAACCATTTTATTTTTGTTTCATAAATAAATTAGATTTTTTTTATTTATATACACACTACATTGCCCAAAGTATCAGGCAGCCGGCCTTTCCACACAAAAACATTTCCCGCACTTAGAAGAGGACTACAGCTTCTCCCCCATGTGAGATCTCTGATGTCTGGAAAGATTGGACTTGTGTGAAAAAACATTTCCCGCACTTAGAACAGGACTACGGCTTCTTCCCCGTGTGAGATCTCTGATGTGTGGAAAGATCAAACTTTTATGAAAAACATTTCCCCCACTTAGAACAGGACTACGGCTTCTTCCCTATGTGAGATCTCTGCATATGTCTGCTAACGTCAGATTTCTGTGAAAAACACTTCCCGCACTCAGGGCAGGGATACGGCTTCTCCCCCGTGTGCAACCTCTGATGTCTGTAAAGATCGGACTTCTGCGAAAAACATTTCCCGCACTCAGGACAGGTAAGCGGCTTCACCCCCGTGTGAGATCTCTGATGCGTGTAAAGGCTGGACCTCTGTGCAAAACATTTCCCGCACTCGGGACAAGGATACGGCTTCTCCCCTGTGTGCGATCTCTGATGTCTGTAAAGATCGGACTTCTGCAAAAAACATTTCCCGCACTCAGGACAGGAAAACGGCTTCTCCCCCGTGTGAGACCTCAGATGTTTGTAAAGATTGGACTTCTGTGAAAAACATTTTCCGCACTCGGGACAGGAATACGGCTTCTCCCCCATATGCACTCGCTGATGACTGGTAAGATTGTTCTTCCTTGAAAAACATTTTCCCGCACTCAGGACAGGAATACGCCTTTTTCCCCGTGTGAGACCTGTGATGTTTGACAAGGTCTGATTTTTTTACAAAACATTTCCCGCACACAGAACAGGAATGTGACATTTCTCCAGCATGAAAACCTTTGATGATTGACAAGGGTTGATCTTTTTACAAAACATTTCCCGCACTCAGAACAGGAATACGGCTTCTCGCCCGTGTGCACTCTCTGATGTGTGTTAGACAGGACTTCTGAGCAAAACATTTCCCGCACTCAGGACAGGCATACGGCTTCTCTCCCGTGTGCACTCTCTGATGAGCGTAAAGATTGTACTTCAATGAAAAACATTTTCCGCACTCGAGACAGGAATACGGCTTCTCCCCCCTGTGCAATCTCTGATGGCTGTAAAGATTAGACTTCTGTGAAAAACATTTCCCGCACTCGGGACAGGAATAAGGCTTCTCTCTTGTGTGAGATCTCTGGTGTGTGACAAGCTCTGATTTTTTTATACAACATTTCCCGCACTCAGAACAGGAACAAGGCTGCTCCCCCGTTTGACACCTCTGATGTCTGTTAAGACTGGACTTGTCTGAAAAACATTTCCCGCACTCAGGACAGGAAAACGGCTTTTCCCCCGTGTGCGATCTCCGATGTCTGTAAAGATGTGACTGATCTGAAAAACATTTCCCGCACTCCGGGCAGAAATACGGCTTCTCACCCGTGTGAGTTCTTTCATGTACTTTAAGGCCGGATTTAAAAAGGAAAACATTTCCCGCACTCAGTACAGGAATACGGCTTCTCCCCCGTGTGAGTTCTTTTATGTGCTATGAGGCCGGAATTAAATAGGAACCATCTCCCGCACTCGGTGCAGGAGAACCTCTTCTCTGGTGGAAGGACGGCCCCGTCCCTCACAGTCTGTGGGTCTTCAGGATACGAGGAACATGATGGTCCATCCACACTGTTGGGCACTGGATGGACCTCTGTTGGAAGGGCAACACCGTCCCTCACAGTCTGAGGTTCTTCAGGATACGAGGAACATGATGGCCCATCCACACTGTTGGGCACTGGATGGACCTCTGTTGGAAGGGCAACACCGTCCCGCAGAGTCTGAGGTTCTTCAGGATACGAGGAACACGATGGCCCATCCACACTGTTGGGCACTGGATGGACCTCTGTTGGAAGGACAACACTGTCCCTCACAGTCTGAGGTTCCTCGGATACGAGGAATCCAATGGTCCATCTACACTGGGTGGTGCCGGATGGACATTGAAGGGAGCCGGGTTTTCTCCTGGACTATACTGTGTGATGTCCTCATCTTCTACTTTCCAGTCTGGAGACAAAGTGAGACAATCCTCGGAGGTTTTCCTCATCTCCCAGCCATGGACTAAAATACAAAGACAAAGAGGATTACTAGACAGGAGCTGATTGGTTCCCCCAAACCAGGACTCCGCCCACATCAGGCAGCTTGGTCTCTGAGGAGCTTACAATTCCACCCTCAAGGGAACTAGGAAATGGCTCATCTGATCTCCTACCAGGTCATTTCTTTATTCATGGACCTTAGTCAGAGAGTGAGGAAACAACCAGAACTGTCTTTTATGAAATGTACAAAGTATTTAAGCGCAGGGCTTAGGCCTACATAACATTCAATAAATTGGACCGTGTAGGAGTCAGGACTCATAATATCGGTATTCAGCCACCGTGGTTGAGCGACACCTTTGCTGTAAATCCACATTTTGCTGCCAGCTGAACCCCAGAACCTCCATAAATCCAGTCTAGAGACATAAATTGTGTCTGCAGCACAGAGAAGGAAGATTATCCGAGAGAAATCCAGGAATACAGGACGGGGAACACAGCTCAGGAAAGTGACCAGGGGATTACAGGCTGATATCACCCAGTCCCCGCCCTACTCTGGACCAATCAGTGAGCAGTATGGGTGGAGGAATGGACTTTAGTGTTCATGACCCACCTGTGCTGATCTCTGTAGGAGTGTCCTCCTCTATAAATGTCCCCCCGTTATTCCATCCTCCTCCATAGACTGCTGATCATCCCTCACATACGCCTCTTCTTCTTCTGTGTTACCTTCAATGTTCATATCCATCAGATCTTCACCCTAAACCAAGAGAAGGATCAACAAGAACATCTAAGATATACGCTCACATAACAAATCCATGCTCTAGATGATCCGACCCACCTACCTGATGATGGTGAGGGATGGGGTGACCTTCCTGTGTGGAATCCCGGGAATACAGAGGACGGGGAATCTCTCTGGTGGTTCCCATCTCTGGGTGAGGGATGGTCCTTCCTGTGACCCGGAATCCATCTACTCTGATGATGGTGATGATGGATGGTGTGACCTTCCTGTGTGGAATCCCGAGAATACAGAGGACGGGGACATCTCTCTGGTGGGTTCCCATGACTGGATCCATCTACCTGATGATGGTGAGGGATGGTGTGACCTTCCTGTGTGGAATCCCGAGAATACAGAGGACGGGGACATCTCTCTGGTGGGTTCCCATGACTGGATCCATCTGTAGGAAACACACACACTGACTGAATCCATTGTTTCTATGTGTTTATCAGATGATGGGGGATCTAGGTGGATCCTCCGTACTGTTCTCTCCTTTACAATAAAGTCTCCTCTTACCCGGTGATGTGAGGGGCGGCTGATTGTCCATCATGACGTCCTTGTAGAGATCCTTGTGTCCTTCTAAATACTCCCACTCCTCCATGGAGAAATAGACAGTGACACCCTGACACCTTATAGGAACCTGACACACACAATGATACAGTCACCATCCAGACACATCCCTTGTCTGTTACTGGAGAATGTCCCAGAATTCCCGGCACCGCTCACCTCTCCTGTCAGCAGATGGACCATCATAGAGGTCAGTTCCAGGATCTTCTGCTCTTTGTTCCTCTCAGGTATCGGAGAACGAGGGGGAGGCACCATGGTGGGGCTCTGGGTCCTGCTCCATCCTCCTGAGATTGGCTCCCCACTAGACTTCTTCACTACAACATAATCCTACAGATCAGGAGAAAGAGAAACCGATATCAATCATCTGACATCATCTACATGTTGTGGCAGCACGGCATCCTGCTATGTTTTTCTTCTTGCTGAGCCACCTGGAATGCTGGACAGCTCCCTTAACAATTATTTAGATGATCCTACCTTGACCTTGTTTATCATGAACCTTGAACCCCTTGCTCCTCCCATGACCTTCCTGATAAAAGCCATGTCTCTGCACTTCCTGTTTGCCAGATTATTGTGCCTTCACCAGCCAATATCCTGCTTGTCTCTCCTGCTGCCGTCTATACCTTCGTTACCGACCTTTGGCTTGTTCCTGGACTACGATTCTGCCTCATCCTCATCTACTACCATTTGTGACCGACCCTTGGCTTGTTCCTGGACTACGATTCTGCCTCATCTACTACCGCTTGTGACCAACCCTTGGCTTGTTCCTGGACTACGATTCTGCCTCATCTACTACCGCTTGTGAATGACCCTTGGCTTGTTCCTGGACTACGATTCTGCCTCATCTACTACCGCTTGTGACCGACCCTTGGCTTGTTCCTACGACTTGCCTTAACCTTTGTGACTGACCCTTGGCTTGTTCCTGGGATACGATTCTGCTCATCCTTAACGCTTGTGACCTACCGATTCTGCTTGTGTGAATGACCCTTGGCTTGTTCCTGGACTACGATTCTGCCTCATCTACTACCACTTGTGACCGACCCTTGGCTTGTTCCTGGACTACGATTCTGTCTCATCTACTACCATTTGTGACCGACCCTTGGCTTGTTCCTGGACTACGATTCTGCCTCATCTACTACCGCTTTGTGACCGACCCTTGGCTTGTTCCTGGACTACGATTCTGCCTCATCTACTACCGCTTGTGACTGACCCTTGGCTTGTTCCTGAACTACGATTCTGCCTCATCCTCATCTACTACTGCTTGTGACTGACCCTTGGCTTGTTCCTGGACTACGATTCTGCCTCATCTACTACCATTTGTGACCGACCCTTGGCTTGTTCCTGGACTACGATTCTGCCTCATCTACTACCGCTTGTGACCGACCCTTGGCTTGTTCCTGGACTATGATTCTGCCTCATCTACTAACACTTGTGAATGACCCTTGGCTTGTTCCTGGACTACGATTCTGCCTCATCTACTAACACTTGTGAATGACCCTTGGCTTGTTCCTGACTACGATTCTGCTCATCTACTAACACTTGTGAATGACCCTTGGCTTGTTCCTGGACTACGATTCTGCCTCATCTACTACCCTGTGACCGATTGTGACTGACCCTTGGCTTGTTCCTGGACTACGATTCTGCCTCATCTACTACCGTTTGTGACTGACCCTTGGCTTGTGACCGACCCTTGGCTTGTTCCTGGACTACGATTCTGCCTCATCTACTACCGTTTGTGACTGACCCTTGGCTTGTGACCGACCCTTGGCTTGTTCCTGGACTACGATTCTGCCTCATCTACTACCGTTTGTGACTGACCCTTGGCTTGTGACCGACCCTTGGCTTGTTCCTGGACTACGATTCTGCCTCATCTACTACCGACCTTGTGACTGACCCTTGGCTTGGGACTGACCCTTGGCTTGTTCCTGGACTACGATTCTGTCTCATCTACTACCGTTTGTGACCGACCCTTGGCTTGTTCCTGGACTACGATTCTGCCTCATCTACTACCGCTTGTGACCGACCCTTGGCTTGTTGACTGACTCCGCTTCTGCTTGATCCTTAACCTGTTCGATCTGCTACTGGGTTCCGGCTTGCTCATTCCCTGGTGGGGTGATCCTGAGATCTGTGACCTGGTACCAACACGCAGCCAAATCCATCTCCACCATTAGGAGGTCTGGTGAAGACCGGTTGGTGCTTAGACCCCACACCTCAGGTGAGCCTGCGTCATTCCCAGGGTGACCCGCTGGTGTACCTATCCTGCTGTTTTCAGGTAAGCCTTACACTGCTATAGCAACTGGTCTCTGAACCTGAACCTGACCCAGACCGTGACACTATTATAGTCTCAAGGAAATTAGGAAGACCACGCTATTGGAAGCGCACTCGTAAAAAGGCGCGGGGGTGTCGTAGAGCCCAAGTAAGGGGAGACAGGGGAAGTCACCTCTCGGGGCAGGTAGTAGCGTCTCCCTTTGATGAAAATGAAGTCAGACAGGATTGGACCTTTACAGGTGATACCCGGCACAGAAGGGCTAAAGGAGGAGTTTAGATTTGTGTTCCGCCCCCTACGGGGTCAAAACAAAGGGGGGGGGGATATGTGGCAGCGCGGGATCCTGCCACGGTCTGAATCAAGCTTATAACCCGGGATTCTCACCCAGGCAGGTTGAGGGGCTCCAGGCGGGTTGCTTATTGCAGAGGGAACTGGTTTGTCAGTTTCCTCGTTGGTTCTCAAAGCCTGTTTTGGGACCGGAGCCGGGAGATTTCGGAGTGATCTGGGAGGGATGAAATCTCCAATCCGGGTCCAGGTTTTGTGAACATCCAGCACACTGAGTGCACAGGTGTGTGCAGGCCAAACCATGATTCTGGGCTCCACCTCGGCAGACAGGAGATCATTGCCTAGGAGTCAGGAGGGCTCCACCCCGGCAAACAGGAGGTCAGTGCCCAGGAGTCAGGAGAGCTCCACCCCAGCAGACAGGAGGTCATTGCCCAGGAGTCAGGAGGGCTCCACCCCGGGAGACAGGAGATCATTGCCCAGGACTCAGGAGGGCTCCACCCCGGCAGACAGGAGGTCAGTGCCCAGGAGTCAGGAGAGCTCCACCCCAGCAGACAGGAGGTCATTGCCCAGGAGTCAGGAGGGCTCCACCCCGGCAGACAGGAGATCATTGCCCAGGAGTCAGGAGGGCTCCACCCCAGCAGACAGGAGGTCAGTGCCCAGGAGTCAGGAGGGTTCCACCCCGGCAGACAGGAGATCATTGCCCAGGAGTCAGGAGGGCTCCACCCCAGCAGACAGGAGGTCAGTGCCCAGGAGTCAGGAGAGGCTCCACCCCAGCAGACAGGAGGTCATTGCCCAGGAGTCAGGAGGGCTCCACCCCGGCAGACAGGAGATCATTGCCCAGGAGTCAGGAGGGCTCCACCCCGGCAGACAGGAGGTCAGTGCCCAGGAGTCAGGAGAGCTCCACCCCAGCAGACAGGAGGTCATTGCCCAGGAGTCAGGAGGGCTCCACCCCGGCAGACAGGAGATCATTGCCCAGGAGTCAGGAGGGCTCCACCCCAGCAGACAGGAGGGAGGTCAGTGCCCAGGAGTCAGGAGGGTTCCACCCCGGCAGACAGGAGATCATTGCCCAGGAGTCAGGAGGGCTCCACCCCAGCAGACAGGAGGTCATTGCCCAGGAGTCAGGAGGGCTCCACCCCGGCAGACAGGAGATCATTGCCCAGGAGTCAGGAGGGCTCCACCCCGGCAGACAGGAGGTCAGTGCCCAGGAGTCAAGAGGGCTCCACCCCGGCAGACAGGAGATCATTGCCCAGGAGTCAGGAGGAGAGCTCCACCCCGGCAGACAGGAGGTCAGTGCCCAGGAGTCAGGAGAGCTCCACCCCGGCAGACAGGAGGTCATTGCCCAGGAGTCAGGAGGGCTCCACCCCGGCAGACAGGAGGTCATGCCCAGGAGTCAGGAGGGCTCCACCCCAGCAGACAGGAGGTCATTGCCCAGGAGTCAGGAGGGCTCCACCCCGGCAGACAGGAGATCATTGCCTAGGAGTCAGGAGGGCTCCACCCCGGCAGACAGGAGGTCAGTGCCCAGGAGTCAGGAGGGCTCCACCCCGGCAGACAGGAGATCATTGCCCAGGAGTCAGGAGGGCTCCACCCCGGCAGACAGGAGATCATTGCCTAGGAGTCAGGAGGGCTCCACCCCGGCAGACAGGAGAGGTCAGTGCCCAGGAGTCAGGAGGGCTCCACCCCGGCAGACAGGAGATCATTGCCTAGGATAAAGGAGGGCTCCACCCCAGGCAGACAGAGAGAGGTCAGTGGCCTAGGAGTCAGGAGGGCTCCACCCCGGCAGACAGGAGATCATTGCCCAGGAGTCAGGAGGGCTCCACCCCGGCAGACAGGAGGTCAGTTGCCCAGGAGTCAGGAGGGCTCCACCCCCTTGGCAGACAGGAGATCATCATTGCCTAGGAGTCAGGAGGGCTCCACCCCGGCAGACAGGAGGTCAGTGCCCAGGAGTCAGGAGGGACCTCCACCCCCCTCAGACAGGAGATCATTGCCCAGGAGTCAGGAGGGCTCCACCCCGGCAGACAGGAGGTCAGTGCCCAGGAGTCAGGAGGGCCCACCTATGAGAGGAGGGAGCCAGAAGCAGCAAGGGGCTGCCAGCTGTGTGCAAAGGGGCCCTGGGCTGCCAGCTGTGTGTGTGCAAAGGGGCTGCCAGCTGTGTGTGTGCAAAGGGGCTGCCAGCTGTGTGTGTGTGCAAAAGGGGCTGCCAGCTTGTGTTTGCAAAGGGGCTGCCAGCTGTGTGTGTGCAAAGGGGCTGCCAGCTGTGTGCAAAAAGCCATTTTGGGAAGGAGTCCGCTGTGAGCCGGAAGTGGAAGGCCAGAAATGTGTGTACAATCCAGGAGGCTGAATATCTGAGGTTTTCTTGTGAAGAGTGAAATGCTGAAACCTGTGAGGGAAATTTATGGAACTTTCTCTTAAATAAAATTGGGCTAAAATGGCCGTTAAAGAAGAAGAGAGCGAGTGGCCGTGTGCTGTAGATGAGAGTTCCCCCACAATGTCTACAAGAAGAACATGGTCTATTGGCCAGACTAGACCAGTGTGATGTCATGTGACCTCCCAGAATCCCCCTCACCTCTCCGGTCAGGTCTGTGTGATGTCATGTGACCTCCCAGAATCCCCTCCACCTCTCCGGTCAGGTCTGTGTGATGCCATGTGACCTCCAAGAATCCCCCTCACCTCTC